ACCCAAAGTATTATATAAACTATTGTCCGGAATATTACTGAAAGAATCGAAGAAAAGTCACAAAAGAGATCCGTCGACAGGAAGTATTGATTTGCAGTCACTATCTGTTAGAGAGCAGAGAAAACAGATGATTATAACGGATCCTAAACTTCAAGAAAGACTCATTGAATTGATGTGTGATTTTGAACCCAATTCCGTACAAAAGACGCTCCAAATTCTGGAGGACTATCGGCCGGAGATTATATTAGTTGTAATATAAGTCTCGACTCTATGTTTCTGTGATTATGTTTGTTGTAATCAATTGTTATCTCTTATCAGATGACCAGAAAGTGTGAGATAAAGGACGGGACGGCATATCTGCTCGAAAAGACCTCCAAATTCGATGAGGCCTTCGCTCTATTGCACACAGATTTGCAGCAAAAGATAATTGATTTTAAGGCTTCAGAAGTGGACCAATTCGTGGACCAAATTGTCATTAAAATCACAGATCTCATAGACCTGTGCGGGCGCTGTACCACCAAAATGACTGAGAGCTCGCAGATGCAGCACACAGTGGATCTCTGGATCTCTTTACTCGAATCCATGCAAACAATCAATAAATTGGTTAAGAAGTCATCTCAAGATAAATATTCAAACAAATTGAATGAATTAACGAATCGATTCCTCATTGGTTTGAACGGAACGCAGAACACGACAGCAGTTATGCAGAGGTTTATGACCAGAGAGTCATCCGACGGAACGGCAGACCTCTTATATGGCGCTAAAGATCTAGTCTTTAAAGTGAAGGACAACTATATCTATGAGGAAACACTTCTTCAGACGACAAACAATTTACTGTTAACTGAATTACACCAACATTTAGCACACCTTCAAAGGCTCGCCACTAAAGCCAACACCAATCGCGGCCTCAAGACGTGTGCCGTTTGTGGTAAACATCTACAACACTCGGACAATGTCGTGCTATTCAGTTGTAAGCATTCATTCCATGAGAGATGTGTGACCACAGATGACGGACCCGTTTGTCACATATGCGACAATCACGACAAGCCTTCTGCCAATCGTGTGTCGAGCGCACAGAATATCTGTTCCAATGAAACCAATTCTAATCATAAGTTAAGAAATGCACTCAATCTAAGCGAAAGTCAAATGAATGCTTTACAATACCTCAAGAATGGACAGCGAATCGACTCCAGAGTAAGTGATTAAAGTTTCTTCATTTATAGCTTGTATTCAATGGTTTTTGTGTTAAAAATAGGCAAATATTTTGAATCAATTGCCAAACACTCGGATAAGACTGGCGTCTAATGAGAGGTCGAGTGAACACACTTTCCAACTAAAACTGGCGCCGAAGTGGAGACCAAAAAGTGACTGATTGTATACTTGGGACCCATTCATGGGTACAATGATTGTAATACAATCTATATGTTATTGATAATCATATTTAATTAGAAATGTAAATAAAAATAAGAAGTTTTAAAATAAGTTTTAAACGAGAAGTCAAATGAATGATAATTACTATACAATCCCTTGTTTTGATACGTTTGCCGATCAAACGTTTGTGTGATTTTGTGTCAAAGTATTTGTCATAAACTCTTTGGTTACTGAAGATAATGAGTGGTCGTCGGTGTGATGTGCGGTGTGTGGACACGGATGACACGATTGTCATTGAGTTCAAGTACAACCAATTGGACACCAATTCTCAGCGATTCTTTCACTTTCAAAGAGACAAATCCGAGACTTTGAGACAAACTTTCCAAAGAATTGCACTCAATATCCATAAGTTGTCCGCAAAGAAGTCAAAGACCAGTAAAAGCAAAACCAATTGTCAAACAGATGTCAACGCATTAGATATACAGCTCTTTATGGACGGATGCGCTGTTTCTCAAGACTCAGCCAATTGTGATGTTTGGAAATCAGGTCGAAATGATGGCATGATTTTTGATGCAAACGTATGTCTCATACAAACGATTGTCTTATTTTAGGCCAAACTCTTAGAGTGGGAGACAATGACTACGAGGTGTACGTAAACGCACCGACAGTTAAGTCCCTAAAACTTCCCAAAGTAATGATGTCTTCGTTCACAATATATCCTAAAATTTCTCTCGAGTTTTGTTCGCAAAATGATTGCAAATTTTATTGGTTCCGGGAATCGATAGCAAAGACAAATGATTCCAACAGTTCTACGATCGCTGCCAATGAGCAGACAATAGTTGATCCCAAAAGTGATTGGCTTTTAGTGAGCGAAGGATTCTATTACAAGACTAGTAGTGAAGACATCGGCGCTAAAGTCAAAGTGGTTTGTCATCCGATGGGTGGCAGAGAGTGTGAAGCGATCGGTNATCCGATGGGTGGCAGAGAGTGTGAAGCGATCGGTGAGAATGTGATTGAAGCCAATCCAGGGTTGTGTCCATTCGAGGAAAGGCTTGTTTTCTGCACTGAACCCACAAATTGTGGCTCTTTTCGAGTCATTTCCTATAATATATTGGCCGACATTTACGCCGATCAGGACTACACCCGAACAGTACTCTTCCCCTACTGTCCCGCATATGCGCTAAACATTGAATACAGGAAACAGTTATTGACTAAAGAGATCGTCGGCTATAACGCAGACATCTGTTGCTTCCAAGAAGTGGATCGACAGGTGTTTGACTCCGATCTCAAACCTATGATGTGTTTCCTAAACGAGACGAACGCTAAACCCAAATATGAGTCGTTTTTTAGCGAAAAGGGAAACACCGGCGAAGGTTTGGCCGCTTTTGTCAATTCATCAAAGTTTGAGACATTGAGCGTCAAAACGGTCTGTTTGTCCGAAGAACTCAAAACTAATCCCATTTTCGCTCATTTATTAACTCAAATCAGCGCCAATGAGAAACTGTTGGACCGATTAATGGCCAGATATTCAGTCATTCAATGCATTCTTCTTAAGTCTGTAGAAGATAGCAATCGGGCCATCATTTTAGGCAATACTCACCTCTACTTCCATCCCGACGCCGACCACATCCGACTGATTCAGTCTTTTATTTATATCAAATATATCGAGAATGAGATGAAAGTGTTGTCAAAAAAGGTTTGATTTTCAGTATTTGTGACCAAAATTATAATTAAAGACATGTGTTGTTGACCACAGAGACCAGAGTTGACTGTTTCGCCGATCCTTTGCGGCGATTATAACAGTTGTCCGGAATTCGGTGTTTTCCAACTCTTCACCACTGGATTCGTTTCCAAAGACATTGAGGATTTCAAAAGCAGTAATATTTGTTTAAATGCTAAATACAAATGTTTGACAAACAATTCAAACGATTGTTTGCTTGCCTTTAGATTCAGACGAGACAATCCATGGCATTGATATGAGTCACGGCTTAAGTCTGGACAGCGCTTGTGGTCAACCCGTGTACACCAATTACACGCCATTCTTCAGCGGTTGTCTCGACTATATATTCTT